AAGTGGGGCTGTTTGCTGATTACTGCACAATGTTCAGCACCATTCAAGTCTCCTCAGATACTGAAGCAGTCCATGTCCGAATGCAGCAGGACCTGGACAATATCCAGGTTTGGGCTGACAAGTGGCAAGTAATATTTGCACCATACCAGTGCCAGGCAAATGACCATTTCCAGCAAGAGAGTATCTAATCATTGGTCCTTGACATTTAGTGGCACTACCATCACTGAATCCCCCACTACCAACATCCTGGAAGGGTTGCCAGACTGGATTGGATTGAGAAACTCAGCTGGACTTGCCACATAAACAAAGTGGCTAAAAGTGCAGGTCAAAGGCTGCAACGAGTACTGACCTCCTGATTTTCCAAAGCCTAGGCCCCATTTGTAAGGCTCAAGTTAGGAGTGTGATGGAATACTGCCCATTGGCCTGGATGGGTGCAGCTCCAACAACACAGCAGAAGCTTAACATCGTCCACGACAAAGCAGCCCACTTGACTGGCATCACGTCCACAAACATCCACTCCCTCCATTATCGCCAAGTTGTAGCAGCATGTACCAGCTACAAAGATGCACTGCAGAAATTCACCAAGGGTCCTTAAGACAGTACTTCTCAAATCTACAACTACTTCCACCCAGAAGGACAAGAGTAGCAGATAAATAGGAACACCACCTCCTGCAAGTTCCCCTTCAAGCCACTCATGTTTCCAAGTCAAGATATTATCATTCCTTCAGTGTTGCTGGGTCAAAATCCTGGAACTTTCTCCCTAAAAAAAAAGCAAGTGGATTGCAAAGGGTCAAGAAGAGAACTCACCATCATCTTTAAGGACAATTAAGGATGGGCAATAATTGCTGGCACATCAGCAACCCTAACCTTAGCATAGTCCATCAGAAGCCACATGATACCAGGTTATAGTCCAACAGGTTTATTTGAAATCACAAGCTTTTGGAGCACTGCTCCTTTGTCAAGTGAAGCTGACGAAGGGGCAGCGCTTCAAAAGCTTGTGATTTCAAATAAATCTGTTGGACTATAATCTGATCTCATGTGGCTTCTGACCGAGTCCGCCCCAATCCAACATCATAACATAATCCACAAGTTAACAGCAATAAAGGTCTCCCCAGTGTCCTGTTATTGTGAGGGAAGCAATCCAGCTTATCCAATTTTAACTAAAAAAAAATCTCCATTCCTGCCACCATCCTCATCAATCTTTTCAGCACTCTCTCCAATGCTTTCACATCCTTCCTGAGCACATCCTTTTCCCACAATACACCTTCCGGAGAGGAACGTTTACAAAATCACACCCTGGACTAAGCTGATGTAAAAGCAGCTCTCAACTGAGAAATATCCATCATCACCTTCTGCTAATTATATGGTAATTTTGTGGGGTAGGAGCTTGTTCAAGACAGTGTCCTCTAATTGTTGGCATTTAGCACAGCATTCAGAGTCCTGAAAGAAAGCGCCTGCTATTTATTTGCTGGGTTGTTGTATACAAAAAGGCAAACAAGTGAGGTGGCTCTTGTCCAATATTGGATTCTTCAACCTCTTGAAGTTGTTTATCCCCCTTTCTGAAAGAAAACTTTGTGCTTGTCTTGTTTGGTTTCAAAGTCTTTTACTTCACTTCCCACTCAGCAGTTCTTATGCGTCTCTTTGTGAAGGGATTTATTTTCTTCCTTTCCTTGCAGTAATTTTCTTTTCTCTTCCGGTTTAGTGTTTCGCTGTTAACAAAAGAGGTGTTCTGTTTCCACTGCGTCTGGTGGCTTTAACCCTTTTGTTCACTTCACATTCTGCGTTTTTGTTTTGTTTACACTGTGAATGACCTGGAATCTACTACCTGACCAGATCGACAAAGCAAATTCAGAAATTTGTGGAGAATTGGATAAAATATTTGAAGACAATTTCCTAAAGAGCCACGAAGAATGAGCAGCTAGAGAACAGGACTAATCAGCGAACTGTACCAGAGACCATGACTTCAATGATCACCTGTGACTCCAGAAGTTTGAAAAGCAGTAACCTTGTGCCTAGAAAGGCTTGACCTTTCACCTATGATGAGCTTTACCAGAGTTTGAGCACCCTCCTGGAAATTTGTCACCTGACCTCACACCCAAATGCCTCATTTAGTTCAATGGCCCTTTTTAATCCTTCTCCAAAATTTCTCAACTCAAACAGATTTCTGTTCCTAGGCTGCTCTGCAATGTCCTGGAGATTAATCCTTAAATCCTGAGGACGCTATGGTAATAACAATGGGCTAATGACCCTGCATGCAAAGTAACCTGGAGGCTTGTCACTGCCAATATTACTGTTTGGATAATGTATTATCACAGTATTGTACAGAGCAGGGGGAAGCTATTTAACCAATCCTGCCAATGCCAATTTTTGGGAAGAGCATTCCTTTTAATTGTACTACACTACTCTTCCCCCAGCCTTGCAGTTTCTTCCTTGAAGTGTATAAACCAATTTGCTTTTAAAAGTCAATACTAAATCTGTTTCTATGGCCCTTTTCATGCAGTGATACGCACAATTCTTAATCCCACTTCTGGCTATGATGGCAATCACATTAAGTCTACCTCTAATGGTTACCACTCAGTGGAAACAATTTGTCTTTATTTACTCTTTTCAAAACTCTCTGAAATTGTTATTTTAATACACTTCCTTAAACAAGATAAAGTATTTTTATTCAGGGAATGTGGGCTTTGTTGCTGGGCCAGCATTCATTCCCCCTCCTTAATTGCCCCCAAGGAAGTGGTGATGAGCTGCCTTCTTGAACTGCTGCAGTCTATTTCGAGTAGATACAATCACCATGTTGTTAGAAGGGGAATTCCAGGATTTTGACCATCTCATAGATGGTACAAACTGGTGCTGTGTGTCATCGGCAAAGGGGGTGAATATTTGTGGATGTGATGCTGATTGATTGGACTGCTTTGTCCTGGGTGGTGATAAACAGTGTTGGAGCTACACACATGCAGGCAAGTGGGGAGTATTCCAGCACACTTCGTGATGTGTGCCTTGTAGATGGTGGACAGGCTTTACAGAAATCAGAAAGTGAGTTACTTGGTGCAGGCTTCCTAATATCTAACCCGCTCTTGCAGTCATAGTATTCATTTGTCTAGTTCAGTTCAGTTTCTGGTCAATGGAAACCCCCAAGGATGTTGGTCCACAGGGGGATCCTGCACTGGTAATTCCATTAACACATCAAGAAACTATTGAAAGATTACAAAATGAGGGGGGACCTAGATAGAGTGCAGATAGCCAGGACTTATTCCATTAGAAGAGAAGACATAGATTTCAAATGATTTAGTTACAAAGGAAATGTGGATTTCCGCCCCCACCACCCTAAATGTGTGGTCTGGAATTCACTGTCCACAATAAACAACCCTCCAAGGATGGTGGATCTTTGAAGTTCTTTGCTCCAGCGAGGAAATTCATCATCTCAATCCTAATTGGCCTTTCTCTTAATCTGAGACTGTTTCCCCCGGTTCTAGAACCTGCCAGTCAGGCGAAACATCCTTCCTGCATTTATCCTTTTGTGCCCTGTAAGAAATTGTAAACTTCAATGAGATCATCTCTCATTTTTCTACTCTAGACAATATCAGTTCAGTCCCCTCATTCTCTTCATTGGACTGTACGGCCAATGTAAGGATCAGCTTGCAATCTTCATTACATTCCCTCTGTGCACCTTAAATGCAAGAATATGGACAAAGTGCTCATAATTTGGGCTAATCTGCATACCTCTGCACTAGTAGATATACAAGTCAGTCAATGGCCCCGTCTGAACGTGCAGTGCTGCTACCTCTGTTGTGCACTGGGTTACAATTAGTCTAGGTTTTATAGTCTCCTAATCGGGGCTTGAACCCACAACTCTAACTTGGCATTGGCAAACAACCCGCTAAGCTACAGCAGACATTCTAATGATGCAAGTTGGCACTTTCATCAATCCACAACCTTAGGTTGCAAAAGTGTGTGCACCACCCCATAGAGTCATTGAGATGCACAGCACAGAAACAAACCCTTTGGTCCAACTCATCCATACCAACCAGATATCCTAAATAAATCTAGTCCCATTTGCCAGCATTTGGCCCACATCCATGTAAACCCTTCCTATTCATATACCCATCCAAGTGCCATTTAAATGTTGTATTCGTACCAGCCTGCACCATTTCCTCTGGCAGCTTATTCCATTGATGCACCACCCTCTGCATGAAAAAGTTGGCACTTAGATCCGTTTTATACTTTTCCATTCTCACCTCAAAACCTATGTGCTCTAGTTTTGGACTCCCCTACCATTGGGAAAAAGATGTTGTCTATTTACCCTATCCAAGGCCGTCATGATTTTATAAACTTCTAAGGTCACCCCTCCAGGGAGGATAGCCCCAGCCTATTCAACCTCTCCCTATAGCTCAAACCCTCCAACCCTGGCAACATCCTTGTAATTTTTTTTCTGCACCCTCTCAAGTTTTACAACATCCTTATTATAGCTGGGAGACCAGAATTGCATGCAGTATTCCAAGTGGCCTAACCAATGTCCTGTACAGCTGCAACATGACCTCCCAGCTCCTATACTCAATGCACTGACCAATAAAGGCAAGCATGCCAAACGCCTTCTTCACTATGCTATCTATCTGCAACTCCACTTTCAAGGAACTATGAACTTGCACTCCAAGGTCTCTCTGTTCAGCAACACTCCCCAGAACCTTACTATTAAGAGTATAAATCCTGCCCTGATATGTCTTTCCAAAATGCAGCACTTCACCTTTATCTATCTCCATCTGCCACTTGTCAGCCCATTGGCCCATCTGATCAGGATAAAGCCAAACTGAGAACACCCAGATTAAGGTGTCACTGCTTCTAGAGATCTGCCCACTCCCAAAGCATCTGCATCAATTTCTTAGAGAGGAAAAAAATTAGTCTTAAATTTCAGCAAGACTTGTGCCAGATCACCATTCAATGCAAAGTAAATCACTGGTTGATCCAACATTTGCAACAGGAATGCAGAAATGTAAAATACTCACGCATTGCAGTAAGGTTTCTTATCATAACCTTTGTAGTTCTTCATGTTTAAAGTCATTTTGCAGACTTCACACTGGAAACACGCTTTATGCCAGAACTGGAACAAGAACAGAAACCAGAGCAATAAGTTCACTATGTTTGCCGTCAAACAACTGTAATCTTCGCCACTCATATCCATCCCCAAATATCGATAAAATGTAAAATAACTTGGCATTAATTAAACAAATCAGGAGAACAGTGCATGGTGGAATCATCCTGCCATAAACACAGATTGATGGGAGATAACGATAGATCCATATTTAAAAACTATGGAAGAACATGACAGGATACAGAGAGAATTAGAGTTTCTAGTGGTTCAGGGGTCTAGAACAGAGCAGTTGCACAGTCACAAGTGTAAAGGCAAGAGATTTCAAAGAGGACAGGAGCAGGAAAAAAATCAATTTTTGAGGCTGTGCAATTCTTAAAAAAGGCCAATGGATGAGGCAGAAACATGCTAACATTCAAGATTTAAATTTGTCTTTATTCATACATATGAGGTGGACATCACTGCCAATGCCAGTGGTTATTGCTTGTCCCTAGTGGTCTTCAAGAAGTCAGTGAGGAGCTGCCCTCTTGAACTGCTGCTTCCACTTGGTGTAGATAGACCAACAATGCCCTTAGAGGGAGTTCCAGGATTTTGACCCAGTGACAATCAAGGAACAGCAACATATTTCCAAGTCAAGATGGTGAGTGGCTTGGAAGGCAAGTGCTGGTGCTCCAAGATATCTGTTGCCCTTGTCCTTCCAGATGGAAGTCATCCCAGGTTTTGAAGGTGTTGTCTAAGGATCTTAGGTGAATTTCTGCGGCACATCTTATAGATAGCACACACTGCCATTACTGAATGTCCGTGGTGGAGGAACTGAATGATACCACATTCACAGAATATCTAATAGACTACTTTGTCCTGGATGGTGCTAAGCCTCGAGTGTTGTTGGAGCTGCACTCATCCAGGCAAGTGGGGAATACTCCAACACACTCCTGAACGATGCCTTGTTGATAGCAAACAGGTTCGAAGTGTCAGGAAGTGAGTTACTTAGAATTCCTAGCCCCTGACCTGCTCTTGTAGCGACAGCTTATATGCCTGGTACAGTTGAGTTTCTGGTGAATGGTAACCCCCTGGATGTTAAGAGAGGGGGGTTCAATGATGGCAATGACATGAATATCAAGAGATGATAGTTAGTTTCTCTCTTGTTGGAGATGGCCATGTGCTGTTACTTACCACTTGTCAGCCCAAACCTGGGAATCATCCAGATCTTGCTTCATTTGGACTTGGGCTGTTTCAGTATCTGAGGAGTTATAAACGGTGCTGACCACTGTGTAGTCATCAGTACACATCTGCACTTCTGACTTTATGACAGAGGGAACATCATTAACGAAAACATCCAAAAGATAGTTGGGCATGGGACAAAACCTGAAGGAACTCCTGCAGAAATGTCCTGGAGCCGGGTGTACCGACCTTCAACATTCACAACCAACTTCCTTTGTGCCAGGTACAACTGCTACCAGCACAAAAACCATCACTCCAATTCCCTTTGACTCTAGTTTCGACAGGACCCCTTGATGTAACACTTCGTCAAATGTGGCCTTGATATCAAGCGCAATCCTCTTCACCTCACCTTTTCTATGGATTGCAGCAGATGCAATAATTTTGAGGCTGAAATTACATGTGATAGGTAGTTGTTTAGTCATACAGAATAGAACAAAGTTGAAAATTGTGTGTGTTGAAATCTCTCTCATCAGGACATGTGCAAGAATACCAAGTTTCAAAGGAAGCAACAGTTTACACTCTATGGGAAAAGGATGCTCAATGTTTGGCAAGTTGACTTGATAGTCATTGCTTTGGAGAACACACCAGGGAATTATTGTCCTTTATGCTTTTGTTTAATTCTGAAAAAACGTGAAATGCCCAGACATGCTCCTTTATCTTACAGGGCAAAGGCTCCAAAGCACGAGTGTGTACACTTCTAACAAGCATAAGTCAGCCATGTCCGAAACCCAATTTTTGTTTCTATTGACCTATTTTTCTAATCAACGTGTTCAAAAAGATGTTATTACATACTTCTGGAGCAGGTGGGTCTTGAACCCAGGCCTCCCTGCACAAGGGTAGTGTTACTACCCCCGACAGAGTGCCGAAGCCCAATTAATCTTAAATCGATCATTAGTATCATTCTTAACATACTCGGGATTGTCCAGCAAACTCTGGCCAATTGTAAAATCATAGCTAATTGTTCTTTTATATTTTCAAATGAACCTGCTCAGGGATGTAATTACAAAGGAGCAGGTAGGACTTGAATCTGCGTTTTCTGGCTCAGAGGTAGAAACACTACTGTTGAACCACAAGAACCCTTTCAGGACTAGTTGTTGGACCTTAGGTTTAATTACATTCAGAGAGAGGGAAAAATAATTATAGACTTTTGGGAAACAGCAGGGTAATAGAACTAATTAGAGAAAAAAAAGAGCTTCCAGAAGAATTACAGTGGCTCAAAGAGGCTGCCTGTCCTGCTTGGATCCAGATGAGCCAAGTCCACAGATACAAGCCCAACCTTTCAGATCTGTCACGTGTACTGTCTATTTCCCTTCACACCTTGAGTAAAGCGTAAACCACTTGCTTTTTGTGCTTGTGCATCAAAATCAGGCAGTTCCCACAGCCTCAGTAGAACGGCTGGTAGCTTATATTAAATTAGAACTGTAACCACCACTTCCAGGCACAGGTCTTTGCATGCAGAAAACCTAAAAGGAGACAATCATCACTGCAGCAAGAGGTGAGCGTTTAACGTCAAAGGTCTGGTTGCCCAGAAAACGGCTGCATTTGTCACTGCTGCTTCCTGACTGCAAAATTGGACTAAATTAGAATCTCAGCTTTACATTGTACAGAAAGTACAGACAAAACAAACTATTTCAGCTGACAGGTCTGTACTAATGATAATGCTCCATATGGACCTAATCCAGGGCTACACTCCCTGTATTTATGAATGGTTATTTATGTTATACTGTGGTGTACAAAGTGCACTTGAGAATGTTACCCATTTGTAATCTGGGATCTGCCGGTCGTTGATTTCTTTTTTGCAGGGGTTTTGCCTCGATGCTTGTGGAGCTAGCTTCAGGAGTGTTTGGTCCTCATTGAATCTGGAGAACACTGGTAAAACTTCTCTGTTGTTCTTGTAGTCTTATAGTCTAATGCTGTCAATATATCATCTAAGAACAACTTGCATTTATGTGGCAACCCTTAATAGATTAAAACATCCTAAAACAATTCACTGGAGCTTTGTCAAAAGAAGTGTAGCTTAGCTGTTACCTTATTTATATACTCTGCAAAACCTCTCTGTAAACCTCAAAAGACAGTGGGGTCATAGTGCAATGTTGAATCAGGAATTTCACATTGTAACATAAGCAACAGTGCACAAATCTGAATTTTCCCTTACAGCTTGAAAGAGGTTCGAGAGGTTGTTTTATATTCATTCATAAACGACAAGTAAAATGTATCTTAAACTCCTAGAGCTCCCCAAACCTTTTCCCACTGTGAAGCCATTTGGTAGGTTTGAAGATTGTCATGACTCATCAAGTGAGATCCGAGAGAGTGGGTGCCTATTGGAGTGGGGATACAGCTGTCATAATATGTGGCACAGCTCTAAAGTGACTACTGCTGCCTCACAATTTCGAAATGTCACCCCACTTGGGGTCACTAATGGAAACCCTGCTCTATACTTCATGGATTCAATGCCCAGACCCTCATGGTCAGGATTGTGTCTATGTAGATCAATACCAAATTTAGTCATATGCCAACTTGATAAGAAAAAGTAATAAATGTTGTTGTGGGCAATCTTATTGTTTTATCTTGTCAATTAAGTTGCTCCTGCCTTTTTCTCTTTGAGATACTGTCTGCAGCATCTCAGGCTGAGGTGTCTGCGCTTAACCTGCTGCTGAAGTTGCGTGCCCTTTATCACAATGTAAAGCTCTTTAACTCTATGTACTGCAATACTCCTTTCTTTTCATCTGTACACAGGTTCTGAGATAGAGCTCTCTAGTGCAGTGTCTATCAGCTGCCTCCATATCAAAAGTAAACTGACCAGCGCACGTATACTCTACAATGGGTGCTCTGCACTAGATTTGCAAGCTGCATCTGATCACAAGGTGAGGAAGGTGGGGGGGGGCGGGGTGTTGGTGGAGAAAGCGCAGGTGAGTCAAACAAAAAGCTTGTACCCACCCAGACCTTGTTCATTAAATATTCCACCTCCCATGTATGATGAAAGTGAGATTCTAGAATCTATTAAACCCCTCACGCAGTCTGGTAGCCACTTGTCAGAGAAGGTTGCTTTTACTGTGAAGATTCAGTGCAGGATATGCAGCACCAAGTCAGCCTTCTACAAACTAAACCAATGAGTCCTTGACAACAAAGCCTATGCAAATCAACACAGGACGACACAGTGGCTGTAAATCACCGCAGTGACCCTGTAATAAGAGTTGGACTGCATTCCAGAAACACACAAGAACAACAGAGAAGTTTTACCAGTGTCCTCCAGATCCAATGTGAGGACAAACACTCCTGAAGCTAGCTCCACAAGCATCGAGGCAAAACCCCTGCAAAAAAGAAATCAATGACAGGCATCTCCCAATTACAAATGGGTAACATTCTCAAGTGCACTGGTAAGTCGATTTGTACACCACAGTATAACATAAAATAACCATAAGTACAAGAAAACATTCGTACGTCAGATCTTTAAAATTAATTGGTATGGGATCTTGTTCCAAAGTATGTGCATTCATAAGTCATGATGTGGAGGTGCTGGCGTTGGACTGGGGTGGATAAGGTCAAAAATCACATGACACCAGGTTATAGTCCAACAGGTTTATGGGAAAACACTAGCTTTCAAAGCCTCACTCGTCCTTCAGGTGTACTGTGGAAGAGCAGGTATACCGATACAGAATTTACAAGCAGAAGGTTAACAACCCTAAAAATGGCTCGCTGACCACCTCTTGTTGAAACTTTAATCAGTTAGAAAGTAGACGCAGGTTTCTAATGATTAAAATGCAAATCCCAGAATTTCTTTCAAGTCATTG